TAGCAACCCTATAAGACAGAGTAGAACTGCCCCATAGGGTTTCCAAGGAGAGGCTGGTAGATTAGAACTGCAGACCTTTTGGTTAGCAGCCAGGCTCTTAACCACTACGCCAACAGAGGTTAGCATTTACAACACATAGGATAATCACATCAGATCACAAAATGGCGGACAACCACACAATACTGGGAATCATGGCCTAGCGAAGTTGACACAAATTTTTGGGGGGACACAATTCAATCTGTAATACCTTCCTTTTCCAAACTGTTCCTCCCCCATTAACATAAATTCACTGCCCCCTAAGTTTCCCATCTACTCTTTTGAGTTGCTGTTGTCATTTTGATCCCATACAGATAGTTCTTAAAAGAGCACAATGCTCAAGGAAGATATTACGTACTAATTAAGCTAAACTACTGTTTAGTTTTAAGAAGATTTCAGGGGATATTTTTGGTTTAAAGTTTAAAGATTATCTCAGGGCAATAGTTTTGGGGGTTCATCCAGCCTCCAGGTCCAGAAAGTCTGAATTCCAAGAGAATTTGAAATTCTGTTCTGCATTTCCCCCCTTTTAATCAGGAGTTGTCTTTAGAATCTTTGATCAAAACATTGGCTGACTCATTTTGAGCCCCCTTTCTCCCCAGCCATATCCCAATAACCAGAGTTCCAGCTAAGAAGAGATTTTTCTATCCTCGTTACAAGTCCAGGTAAGCTGCTTGAGCCTCTGAGTAGAGATCTGAGTGTTTTCAGAGTTGAAAGCCTTCACAGTGAACCACCTGAGAGGCTTTTCTTAAAGGGGAGGGCTAATCCCATGAAGCTAAAGCCTACAAAGCTCCTGCTTCCTGACATCGTTGGTGCTTTCAGAGGAAAAAAAAAAAAGAAAAAAAGGCAGCCATGTAGGGAGGGTCCAGTGAGATACCAGTCTCCTCTGGTGCCCACAGGAGTGTGGAGGATCTCCACCCAGGAGGTCAGGGAAATGTCCGTGGTGCTAAGCCACTGAGTAGCAGTTCAGGCAGGACAGTACT